TGTTTCGATCTAAGTACTCGTTTGGTATTGCTGCTATCCATATCTTCATGTACCTGCCCATTCCTAGTGAGAAATAAGGTATGTCTTCTCCCTGTAATCATACTTTTGATTCTAGTGATTATTATAATTACCATTATAAAAGAAGATGGAAAAGACTTCGTGTGGGGAACTTTCATGTTCATATGTACATTTGTATACAAGTATAGCAAGCATCTCCTGATATATGTATGCGTACATGGCGTCTATTTAGAGGAGAAAAAGCTTGCTATAAACTATAAAAAAAGCTTGATCTCTAGACGCCAAAATAATTATGCTATTCAAAGTCGAAGTACCATTTGCGCCCTGCAGGATCGCGCTAATGAAATATTCAGCTCTGACGCTATATCCAAGGCGAAGCCTATATCTGTCAATGACATTCGTGTGGAAGAAGACCTATCTGAGCCTTTGAGCGCTACAGGGTCACGTGTATACACATGGTCTCATGCGGAAAGGGAAAGCTGATGGTCGTATGGAGTTTTTTGTCTCCCCTAGCTAGCGAAGAGAAGTTACCACACCCTCGGCTACCGGTGGCGTCACCGACGTCGTAACCAACCGCCAGCGAACGCGTATGACACGGGGCGCCGGGTGACATGTTTCGTTTCGACATATTCTTGAGTTGTATCAAGTCGAAAATGATGAACGCTCTTCTATCGTTCGTTGTGGAGGTATTTTTGCTGATGGCGCTAGAAGTACTGCGTCGACACTGGGGTGATTCGTCTATTGCCATCAACAGTTGCCATCGGCCCTAGTGGTGGCGACCGCAACGACATCAGCGCAATATTGCGTCCGTTAAAATCCGTCCGTATTCGTTGTTTTGTTCCAGCAACGGCAGTGGTAGCAGCATCAGCATCGATTATTAACAATGGCAATAAATATATACTTTGTCTAAACAATGTTGAGTTGTAGCTACGTGAGCTTATTTTAGCCTACTCTTTTTCGCCTTCCTTATTATATTCAAGGCGGCCGTGGCACAGCGCTGGGCACGAAAGCGTTTCGGCTACAGATACAAGATTACGAATGACAGTAACAACAGCGGTAACAACTCGACATACGCCGTCGAAGCAAACAGGTAAATGTTCGAAAGCCACACTACAAAAGCCCGACAGCAGTCTCAACCCCCCCCCCCGTCCCCGTCCTCCGTCCTCCGTGGGCTCAGAGTCATGCTGCGTCCTTCAAAACCTTTTTCACCACCATCACCACGTTACCGTTCTTCTAGCCCATCGCTGTGGTGTCCTTACTCCATTACCATGCTCTCAGCTCCGGGAAGAGGTGCATTTTTGCCGTCGTAGAACGTGCGCGGACTGCGGGCAATAACCGGGTGGTGCTCGTCCTGCAACTACCGCAACGATGTTCACTGCGCCGATTACTTTGCGGGCCTACAGTTGAGTAGCATGCTTTGTGACGTCTCAGCAACGCTTTTCGTTATCCGATCTTCTCTTCGTCATGACGTTGGTAGGACACGATCGCTAGTCAAGCACTGGCTGTAGAGTGGAGCTAAGTGAACTCAATGCGATTTACGATGTGTATGTGGGTGAGGATACGAAGATGCTTTTGAGCTTCATTACGAATGAGCCATCTCTACCGTTAACTCTATATGGCTACAAGCGAAGACGGGCAGTTGAAAAAAAGCATTGTTTTTAGTTTTTCTTTTCCCCTTTGCGACACCACCTGCAGTCGCTTCAAGGGCTTGAGCAATTGACAAGTAAGGTTTAGAAGGGGCGATATTGAAGGGGAGACGAACGAAATATCTGTGAGGTTATTAACTTCTTCGAAATGAATCTGGATGCCAGTATCTAATGCAGGAAGAATTCGTCTGCTCAGCGCGTTGGTCAAAAAGGATTCCCTCACTGACTTTTACGCATTACTGTGAATATAGTCGACTTGTTTCTTGTTTGTAGCTGTGGTCAAAAACAAGCATCGACATATGAGCGTTCTAAGCGTTAAGACACATCTCTTAGAAAACTGTCTATGTCATTTATGTATGTATATACGTATATAAATAATAGGAAATGGTTTTGTGTCGTCGACGGGTGTCATTCAGACGTTGAATGAGGCGTGAATTATAAAGTTACGTTAGTACTGTTTCTTCCTTCGATTTGTCCTTTTAACTGCAGTATCGTTACCCCTTCATGATATATGCCCACTATGTGTATTATTAAATTCCAGGTTAATAGTTATACAGTCTAAATTTCGATGGTAGCTCAGTTTATTTATAATAATAAAGCTAGAAAAAGAAGGTTTTTCCTCGATTTTTCTTGCTAAAGAAAGACTTCGAATGTTTATTCAAACATGTTTTCCCTCCTTATCCGTATAAACCCAATGGGAAATCACAACAGGCCAGATGCCACATGGCCTTGTTGGTCAGTCGTAGAAGTTCGCAATAAAACTGTTCAAGTAAGTATTCGTTGCTTCCTTTTATCATGCAAGATGACGGCGTTCGAGCATTGGCTGCAGGCACACCCGAATACGTAAGCATATATAAGTCTCGGTTTATAACGGTGATTTTTTCAGAGCCCGCGTAATATGTTATATAGTTATAATTAATTACGTTACGCTGGAGAGAAATGGTTCGACAAACAATTAGGTATATACATATATATCTTCTAATGTTTTATTTCTCCATGTTCTTTAACTAGAAATGCTGCCCACGCACCAAATAGGATCGTCGTACATAATTGATGTGACATAACGAATATGTGTGCGAGAATGGAAACGCCTAAGGCAGAAAATGGTATGGTAACGTTGGCAAGAACATAGAAAAGGTGGCTCGCATGTAGTACCATAGCATACACTATGGGATAGATGTTTCGAACCGGCGATTCCAGATGGTCACTAGAAATCGCAATGAGATTTGACCAATGGCATCCTTTGCAAACATATGGTCTTTACTCAATGCCCTAAGGCTATAAAGAAGGAAAACAGTCATTGTCGAAAGACGTTACCAGTTGGAATATCGGATACGGTTTTCGTCAACAATCATAATAATACTGTAAATAGAGCAGACAGAAAAAAAATGATTTCACGAAAATTCAGTCACTACAACGAATTATCACAAGAAGCATAACTACATGTATCACGTGTCTGGGATCTTACAGCTTGACCAGTTGGCAGATAGGTTTACAATGATAGAACAAAATAATCAGCGAGCGGTAAGCAGATCACAACGATGGTACGAAGTTCGGCAAGTGCGTGCATAAGCACGAGCAAGATCTGCGAACGGAGAAACTATACATTTCTACAGGTATATAGAAGTACTGTTCATTACGCAGTTAATCATCGTTACATTCTAATGATTGACGTGCGATAAGTGGACCGAAACCAAGACCTCAGGCGGCAAGGATCCTTTTTTTGCATGGAGTTTGCTGTGTTGTTACATTTTACATGGAGCTCTACTGCTGCTGATACGAACTTAAAAAAGTTACAAATAAGCTTTATAGGGATGAACAGCTATTTAGATGTAAACCTTTATAGGTGCGTGAACAGCAAGAGACAGAAGCGAAAAAATCGGGAGATAAAGCCATGACACTACAAAGGGATAACACTCAGATGACCAGAAACGTTTAGCGACCCAACAACAGCTAGAGGAACGGAGAACGATGAGGAGGAAAAGAGGAAAGCCAGTTAAATCAACGAACCAACGTACAAAATACGAAATCGTAATTAATATTTTGCCGCCGCCTTTCGTTAGATCACGATCTCATTGATCGTACGCGCGCCCTCATCTGTTGCTCGCCGTCACCGACACTGGCATCATCATGGCCATCACAGAATCGGCAGAATCATCATCATCATCCAGTGATGATCCTACGCCTGCCCAAGTCACCGATCGAGAAGAGTTTTGGCCTTAGCTGACTACGCTCAGGCCTGTTCTGCGTCGGCTCGAACAGTCGACGGAGGCGACTCCGTCGGCAGCAGCGTGGGTTTTAGCTATAAAGGTAGCGGTGACGGGGTCGTAGAGAATACCAATCGATTGCTTTCTTTAGCTTTTTTTTTTCTTTTGAACTTGATGCTCTTGTATTATCGTTGGGTATGTTTGCTGTTCGAAACGTGCGTGTGCGGCTGTCGTTCGAACTGGTTAATCAAAAAATAGATAGATGCAACAGAATACGTATGTACATGCATTAAGATGTTTGTGTTTGCCTCTGTGTATGCGGATGTGAAGACACGCAATAGTTCATTTAAACATTTTGTTCTGGTTTAACATGGTCGCCCTCAGGGGGCTTTCATCGCTGTCACGTCAAAGCGTCGACGTTTATTCCATTGCAAAAAAAACAGGGTGATCTAATTGCGTTCACTAATAAGTAATTCAGTTGATGATTGACTATTTTTAATTCCATTTATACTATCCGTTGTTATTCTGACAGCGGAGTTTTTTTCTTTGGGTTAGATGGCTTGAGTCAGTATGCTTCGTATCTAACGCAAAGTGACGTGAAGAAGCCTGGGATACATGTTGGGCTAACGTTGTCCACAGTTACGTCACTCGAAACTAATTTTATATTGTATGTAGATTAATACTTGCTTCAATTCATCAGGCCGCTGATTCCCCATTCGTAATTGAAGCAAGCGAAGAATAATATATATCTGTTTGTAGGATAAAAAGCAGGCAGACAGAGTGCAAATTTACCTAAAAAAAATATGTTTTTCACTAATGTTGATAATAAACTGTGAAGCCACATATAGCCAGTGTTTGATATTCGGGAACTATCGTCTTCTTTCGGTCCTACTTGCATGAAATCTGCAGTAATTATTTTTGATGGAAGCTTTGACCAATTGGCCTTACGATTCGCCAACAATACGGACCAAATCGACTTAGTACAGTTAATCAAGCTAGATGTTCCATCGCAGTTGTCGCACACGCAAGTCTCAATTGCAGCCCTGAAATAAAGTTGAGTTCGAGCTATTCTCCGTGCTACCATTGGCATAGCTGTAGCAGTATTAACACCGGTTATCCTTGTATTTACCTGTTTGAGTTGATCGTCGAAAGCATACTGCTTATCTGTTGGATCGGGTAATCCGAGATTCTGTGTAAGCTGTAGAAACGCAGGATTTCGAAGCGCCTGCAAGTGTGCTGGACTATTGAGAAAGCCATGGGCTCCCGGTAAAAGGCCAAGTGGTGGGACACGATCGGCAGCTTTTCCGGCAGCAGCAAACATCGCTTGAGCCGTAGCTAGTGCCGCGGCCGATACCTGAATGGGGTCCTGGCAGTCCTTTAGTCCGCCGAGTTCCTTCGACAAGGTGGACGATACGTGGCTGGGGGGATCGGAAAGATCGCCCCCACTGGAGCCGTTCTCGCACGGACTCCGTCTCAAGTCCAACTCCTGCTCGTCGTCTTCTTCGTCTCCGCCATAATCGTCATCGTCGATAGGTTCATCACGTGTTGTCTGCTAAGAACATGACGATAAAAAAAAAAGAGAAAACTGAGTTAAATTGTATTACAATAGAATTATTATAACAATCCTGTTTTTTTTTGTTTGTTGGTTCTGTCTGCTACTTTAGCCTAGTCAAGACATATATATTGTTTTAGATAAAAACATATAGTGGACTAGGAATACGGACATATGAGTGTAATATAGTTCGATGATAGTTTGTCATTTGATTTCATCGCTCGCCTATGCTTATTTGTGGTCCATTAGACAATTTCAAATATCGTCATCACACACTATTGGATCATCACTCGAGTGAAACGCCTTTAACAACCAACAAATCTCTATATTGGAAAGCCCATGGTTGCGCTCTCTCCATTCTAGTAACAGCAAGCAGAACGTCAGCAAAACTCGCAGTGGGAGCAGCAGTACCAGCAATCAGACTTAACAGTAAACCGTATCTGTCGGCTGATTCCTGGTAGATGTACAAACTTTCGAAAAGTCGTCCATTTTCTAATGGGTATCAGTTAAGGCACGTGTTGTCCTATGCCAAAAGCAGTGAACATCACCACTAGCCACCGAGCCCCTATCGCTTTGTCCTCCCGCTATCTCGTCAGCTCTTACAAGTCGTTCAGAGTTTCATATTGAAAAGTTGGTTTAGTCAGCACCCGCCTCGACTCTGATCTGGCCTTCTCGTTCGGACAGTTATCTCTGGCCGTCATTATCATCTGCATCAATGCCACTCCTTGCGGTTTAACCCTTACCCTCACCGTTTGTTCCCCTTTTTCGCTATTGCTTTTCATTTTTGCAGTTTGTCCAAGACCAACCGTCTAGGAGGTTGGACGGCTTCGAAAGCGTTTGGTCCCAGCAACGGTAAATGCGTGCCATCCTTCTCTCACTTGCATGTTTACCGCATCAACCCCGGTTGCTGGTCATTGCGGGCATCATTTTGGTACCCTGTTCCCCGATTTCTACCGAAGCCTGTTGATCCCATCTTGTCCACGGTCACAAGTGGCAAGCAGATGACGCAGGTCGCTTGTGGTGGCCATGGCGGCCGACCAGAGGCTTTAGTAGCTATTGCATGTCATACTAGCACTGAGTGAAGACCAAGAGTTGGTCTTCATTCTTTATCTCGCCTTCCGTCGTGCTCTTCGCCTGCTGTCTCATTGGCTAACGTATCGTCCTCATCCACCCGCATTTGTAACAAACCAAATTAGAAGCAGAACGAAAATTACTTGGTTGACGCGTGGAGGGTCCGCAGCAGCGTCGGCCTCGTATGCTCCAACGTGCTGTCGTCGACACAGTCGGCGAGATCAGCGTCACGTACGCTTGCAGCTGGTGGCGCATTTACGTTAGGACTCGACAAAAGCTACTCAAGTTATATTATAGAAGTGCCCTGTAAAAGCTACATAGACACGTACACAAGAACCAAACGGGCCGGGTGAACAGCAGCAATATATTGTATGTGTCGTTTCGAGTGTTGTGGCAAGCGTCGACGAAGCGACGTCCCAGGACGCACAAACAAAACGCATCCAGGACATGAAAGAAGACAGACAAGACCCTTACTATGGTAGGACTAAAGTCGTCCGTCTCCGTCATTCGTTGAGTGAAAACGAACAAATGAGCGAACGAACTATGCCAGGCTCAAATGCAATGAAACCCGCAACGAGGCTCTAGCGGGGGTGACAGCTACGGTGTTAACCGATGCCAACAACCAGTCAGCCAGTCTCTTTCTCGTGCGCTTCTTCTCTTGCCTCTTACCATCAAGTTATCTAGCTAGAGGAGACAAACTCATCGCATATTCCCTACGCCAGTCACCCCGTTCATTCGACATATCTCCTAGTATGTGATTTTCTACAGTTGTTTTCCCAGCTTCGTCCCATATTAGTCCCCCCATAACCAGTGCCCCATATGTTCGTTCACCAACCCCCCTGAAGTCTTTCCCTTCATACTCGTCTATGCCCATCGTCGTTGGCCAGTCGTCGTTTTCCTTGTTGTTGTTGACTGACTGCTTGCGAGGCCGTTCGTTCGCCGTAAGCTCGTCTATCCATTGGGCCTTTGCTATGAGTAAGACTCATGGGGTGGCGGCCGCCTATGACGATGTCTACTGCTAATACCGCGAGCGCGACAACTATTCGCACTGCTCGTACGGACCACGGGTAGAAAACCCCATTCTGAGTAGGCTAGTAGTGAGTAGTAGTGGTGCTGCTGCTAAAGGGAAATAGAAACAGACGAGGAGGCAATGCTTTGTTCAAAGTTTAAAATGACAATAATTCGCATGTTATGATTAGCAACAGCGGCACACGGACACAGTGAGCAGTCACGTCTCTCGCCCGCCGCTGCCGCCGCTCACTCTTTCTCTTCTTGCGTCGTCGCTTCTGTCGTCGGCTCCTTTTTGCTTCTTCGGCTTCTCGCCCAATCTCTCGTCTCAGCAACAGCAAGTGCAGCAGGGGCATTAGGAGAGCGCTTGGTTTTCAGCGTTGCAGCAGCAGCGGGCCAGCTCACAGCGCTCCCATCCCAGTGCATTCATCTCACCCCGTTTCGGCCCCCGATACCCCGGACACTGCCAGTCCTGTCCATATGAACATCGTTGGAAAGGCTGCACCCCTTAAATGACCGGGGATAGGACCTTCGTCTCGTCGCTCTTCACTAAAATCAGCATGAACAGCAAAATCATCAACGACAGCAGCAGCATGGGCACAATCAGCAACAGCAGAACCGCTCTGACAATTGCGCGAGTTGGCAACTGCCAACCAACTCTTAACGGGTGGTAATGATATTGTCGCATGCATTTCGTTTTGATGAAACTGAACGAAGAGTAACAGGAGCAGCCCGGAAAGGCCGGCGCTCAGCAGTATGTGAAGAGACAAAGATGGCAGCAGTAAGAGTCCCACCCCTCGGCGGAAGGGGCAATAGAGATGAGAAGTTGACGGGAGTTTGGTTAGGCAATGCGGGCGGGAAAGGGACGTAGAACTAGTTGTGAGGGGCAAAGGAACAGGCAATGTTGGATTACTCGAAGGCTGTATACTGCCAAGAATTCTCGTTGCATTTGCCATTTGTCACGGCTTAGATATATGGCTATCGTTTCGAATCTTTTGGTTCGATCTTTTTGCTCTTGTGCATCCTTTCCTGTCGGAGCTTGGTACGATGAAGCTCCGAATATATTCTGGCTTGGTGAGTACCGTCAGATACCGAGCTGGCGACAAGTCAGAATCGGAAAGCTCCTGGACTAGGTCGACGTGCCAGTACGACAGACACTACGTGCATCTGTATACAACAAGGGCGCACCAGATTCGATTAATGAACCGAGAATAAAAATATGATGGGCCGTGAGAAATAACCGTAGGACCAAATGATTGTTTTCATTGCTTTAGTAGATTTAATAGTTCAAAGGGAAGGTGGCCATATTCGGCATTTAACCGGACTGGCAAAGGCTGACAAGATGCGGTTTCTCGTGTTTCACTGTTGGCCAGCTTGCCGTACCTTTGGCCTAAACCGCTCATCGTGTGACGTCATGTCGTGCCTCTCGAGATAAAAGCATGCCAGTATCAGAGGAACCATACCAAAAGCGTAATTTGCTTTAGGAACGAGTTCTCTTGCGTTGTTCAAAATGAGAAGCTTTCAAGGTAAGGGGCAGTCAGGACTGGTGAGAGCATGCTAGCTATTGTGCGCACCTGCTTTGCACTAATTGATACATCTATTTGGAAAGAAGACAACGAAATCTAACCTTTGCTTGCTCGACCGTTCCTGGCGGGAGCGACGCAGTCCGTTTTAAACGAACAATCCGCCAATCGCTAACGCGAAGAAACAGGACAACGCGCCATGACTCGACCCTTACTAGCCGCGTTGGGGGCTATGGATAGATATGACAATGACAAAAGGTACCGCGACACAAGTGGAGAAATAGTCAACATTTCGAGGTATGTTGACAATTGCTGATTGGTATGCCGTGTGCGTGGCTCAACCTATTTCTCCAAAGCGCGCCTTGCATCTAAAGGGAAAGTTTGCAATGGGCGCGAATGAAGTTAGTCACAGTGTAGCTCTAATTACAGGATGATCCGACGGCGCGAGGGCTACTACAGGAATGCCAACTGGAACGTGCTGGATTCATCGTTGGAGAGCAAATATAACGACTGTATAATCATAGCAAATACAGTCATAAATCAGTAAATACATAGGAAGAAGAAACTATTGGTCAGACACATCATGGGTGTTTTTGATGACCCAAATCGCAGCATAGTACAACGTCTTCATGTACGAAAATTCTTCTAGATAAGAATGACTGTTTTAATTTATAAGGTAAAGCCGCTTGTGATGCAATGTCGGCCTAAATTCGATTAGAGTAGATACTTTACATTTATTCTTTAGAAAGCCAGCAGATTTACTGTTGTGACGTATTTTTGTTCTTAATCGTTCCCGCCATTCTGAAGCTTTTCTATCTGCATGTACATACATACGTGCAAGTTGCACCCATCTAATAAATGTGTTCCATGTAGATCACGAAGGGTTCCATTGCCGACCAGTTGTTGTACGGTAGTTGTCGTCGTGTATGCGTATATGCCATCGCGCTATTTGTGTACAGTAGACTAGTTGCCAGATTTCAGTGGTCCTATAGGCCAGGCCGAGTGGATCCTTTGAGTCATTAACCCTTATGCACCATTTGGCCGCGGAACCGTTACGGACTCGAAACGACTAGGCTGAATAAACGCAACTGGCTGACTCGACGTCCTACATGTATCGTATGCCGTTGTGTTTGTATCGCAGACACTGGTACACCTCGTATTTCTCTAACTCATCCTACATCATAGACCGTTTCGTTGATTTGAGAATGAAAACAACGACGACAGCACTTCCTCTCTTAGGCATCTGAGCCTCTCGCGAAGGCCTTGGCCACCCCGTTGACTTACGACTTCTATGACGACGACGACGACAGTAGCAGCAACAATAGCAGCGGCAACAACAGCGTTCGTGCTCGACACATCTCTTAAGCCACTTGCATTCAAAAGGAGAGGCGGCGGGGA